TTCAGTTCTAGCGTCAGATTTTGGGTCGTTTTTGAATGAAAAAATACGATTATCAGATAGATTAGTTTGATTATTTATTTTGTTTGAAATAGTTGATGATGTAAAGTGGTATTGAGTACTCTGATAATTGAATTATCGTCGTATGCAATAGTTGATGCAGCGAAAATTCCTGGTAAAATTCGACCACACAAGTTTTGATGAAATTTCCAATTTTGAAACATCTGAAAACTTCACTCCTGGGAGGAATTGCAATGAAATTTTCATTTCATTATTTTCGTATCTAATAGAGAAGTTCATATCAAAGTAGTCTAATTTGCAAAAATTGTTCTGAATAAAATCCTTGCCAATCATACCATCGGATGGTATCGGAAAGTTTTCGTTTACGATATGAAATTTAGAGTTAATTTTTATGTCATCGAAATGGAGATTAGTTTGGGTAGTATCCAAGCTGTCAACTGTTCCGTCAGTCACACCGATTATTATATTTACTATATCATATTTATTAATAAATGGATTGTTTAGAATTATGTTTGATTTGTCTATTGAGATATCTGCCTGGGTGCCAATAATGAAAGTTAATGGTTTTTCTGAGAAGTCTGTAAAAAGTATAATGAAATCTTTAATATTGAGTTTTATACTGAAGATTGTAATTTGTGACATCTCCATTTCAGTGTTTAATTCGCTATTTCGTGAATTGTTACTGAGCTCTGGCCCCGCTCCTCTGGCGGGGCCTCGGAGTTTTCCGTAATCATTCTTACGTTTCTTGAGCGGTTGCCATTTTGCTGGCGATAATTGTTGGAATTACCGCGTCCACGGCCCCTTGAGCGTCCCCTGAATTGTCCCCTGTTGTTACAGTTGTTGGTGTAATAATTGTTTCCGCCGCTTGGGTGAAAATTTCGAAAATTGTTTCGGTCCCTTTGATATCCACGGCCATGCGGGTTTTGATCCTTTTTAAATGATAAAATTTGAACCTCAGTATTCTCAGCGTTTGACTCGGTTATGTATTTTGCTAGGACCTCCTTGGGTTCATCGAATTTGGTGGTGGCCAGTACTGATCAAAACAAACGAATTTACTCATTCAATTTAAATTTAAATTTAAGTTGAACAAATCACGAAAAAGAAAAAAAAAACTATCGCTAATTTTCCATTCAAAATTTATTGGCCTCACAAATAAAAAAATCGAAAATCGCAAAATTATTAAAATTAGGATAAAAAAACCGAAACAAAGTGAATGAATCGCATAAGATATTTCAGAACATTTTTTTTAATTAAATGCAATTTAATTTTGCAAGTAGTATGGTTACTAGTTACTAGTTGGAGTTTGAACAAGACCCACGAAACAGATAATTGTCTAGTTTTAAGAAGAAAAATAAACATGACATAATTCAGCGCAATAACCGAAGATAAGAATAGAATTTTATGTCGCAATGAAAAAATTACAGGTTGTTGTGATGAGAATTATGGATAATTAATCGATATCTAAAATATATATTTGTTGATTTACAATTTTGAAAGCAACGAGAAGTTATTCACTTGAAATGTGAATGAACTGTCATTAAATACTAAACGAGAGCTAAAACGGGTCTAAAATTATGAATTCTCGAACGAATTCTGTTTATTCGTTAATTTCTTAATATTAAATGATGCAAGTGCATTAAATACATTCTCCCGCGCTCAATATGAACTTCATTTAATTGCATTTGCAGATGTTTTAATGTCTCAACACATTTATTTTGATCGAAAGTTGCATGAAATTGAATATTTTAGAGCAAACAAAGGTGTTTCATTGAATGCGTCACACATGAGTGCAATGTGTTCAAAATCAAAACTCTTATTATTCGCACTTATCTGGATAAATGATATTATTTTATTTTATTGCATTGGAACGAAACTGTTTTAAAAATGAATAAAAGCAGAACATTTTCTTGGTTAAAAGCAGAGTAGTAATTCCCTTGAACTGTGAGTAACTCCTACGAATGATGATTCGTTTTATATTGATTTTAACATCTTTGGCCATTGTGCACAAGGTAAGTGAATGGTTTGAGTTTGATACTGAATTTAAATTAATTTTGTCTTTCTGCCAATATAAATAGGTATTTGGTCAAGATAAAATAGAACCAATTAGACAGCCTGATCAACCAATATGCCAGTCGGTTATGTGTAATAAATATACCGATGACAAATTGAATCAATTGATTCAAGAAGTTGCAGATTCGTGTAATTGTTGTTGTGGATGCAAGAGTAAAATTTATTATGATTTATGTCAACTTTGCGAAGATTATCGAAACTATGATCCAAAAACATATGGACTCAATCAGTGTGTGATAAACAAACTATCAAATCCGTGTTACACAAAATATTACAATACATTCCTTCAAATTTTGAATAGTGGATGTGGAAATATTTGTCAAAAAAATAATTTCAATATTTATACATTCCTCTCTGATGTATGCTGGGGATGTAATGGATGTCTTGAGGGTTGTTACATTCAAAATGGAAACACAATCTACTATTATCAGGCGCTTGATAATAAAGGAGGTGCCAAAATGGCTTCGACAGTAAAATAGGCTGCTTAGTTTCAACAAAACAAAATATTGCTCCAGATCGGACGAATGCAGTTTCCAAATCGATTTCTGCTCCACTTTCTACTTTAAGATAAGAATTATCATCGGATCAGTCAATACAAACCATGGTGGTTTAGCTGATACACTATATCTTGATCATCATTTGATATAGAATAATTAAATTCTCGGCAATAGTAAAAATCTACATTTTACAACAATTTTTTTACTGATATTTCCAATTTTCTCTGAAATAAAATAATTTTTAATGAATAACTTAACAATTCAGTTTCTTCTATCTGTTATAATTGTGGATGCGCTTGTGGAGTCTTTGTCTCTGACGAATCTTCTGATCTTTCGAATATTTTCCGATCATATCCATGACTGCCAAGATGCGTTGCATGCGGCAGAGAGCATGGACCCCTTTGACCTCGGCATCAGAGTTTGCGAAATGTCTGAATCTATATTTCCAATAGAATTTTA